GAAATTACAACTGTTAACACAATTTCATCTGACCCATGCATCATCAACATTACATCACTGTCTGGTTTGACTTCCTCCAACCACACATTAGGTCTTCATGTCACATGTGAGGTTGTTGTTCGTTTTCGCTGGATCCTTCGAATTTTTTCCCCCTCCACAATGTCTCCATCTAGCCACCGCATCAACTCCCGCTTCAGACGCTCCATGGAGTGAATGTGCCAGAATTTCATTTTCATCGCAGGTTTTGTGGCGGAGAAGATAACGTAACCATCTCTACTAAAAATCATAGGCGACGTCATGACACAAATAACGGAGTATAAAATAAAAATACAGTGCGAGAAAGTGTGAGAAATTTCGGAGAAACGGACGAATTATTTATAAAACAGCATTTTGCCCTAGTTTTGCCCTAGGAGCCAAGTGAGATGGCGCCTCCTCTCACTTTTAAGGAGCATGCGCCATCTCACTTGGCTAAAAGCCAAGGGAGGCGCCAAGTGAGATGGCGCCTAGGGCAAAACCCTAGGTGGAGGCGCCAAGTGAGATGGCTCCTCCTTTGGGGAGTCATCTGAAACATGGTTATTTGCGTAATTTTTTCTGAAACCCGGTTATTTGTGAAATATCATTTTAATACATGATTATTAATAAAAAAAATTCATATATATATGTATCAACAATTCTAGGAAATAAGACGCATACGTTTCTAATTTGGAGAAAAGTATTTTAAAGATGACATATCAACTTTTTTAACAAACTCATAGCCGCCAGTCAAAATTTTTGAGAAAGAGATGTTTTCTTATGTCCAAGATATTATTATGTACACGCTAAAATAAAATAAAAATATTATTTGTCATTTTTTTTGCACCAAAGTTTTTTTCTCATGATGTGATTTTTGTGTTTTAGTCTTTGAAATCCACTTTATTTTATTTTAAACTTTGATGAGACTTTTCCGTCTTTCTAACCTCAAGTCATTTAGACAATCAAGAATCAACTAGATCGTTGTTTATAATCTATCTCTTTCTCGGATCTAACAGCTAGTTACAAGCACACATGTCCGATATAATCAAGTCTTGGCAGTTATTTATTTTTGCAGATCCGCATATCTAAGACCAAAAACAGGAACCAATGACCATGTGTTAGGGACATTAAATAAACCCTCACACATGTGAGCAATATTCATCCTTAATACCCTAATACTTTGCTTGTATCTCTTTGCTCCCACACTTATTTGATTGTCGGAGTGCCTTGCAGGTACAAACTCTTTTTTTCCTCTTTGACCTCACATCCTGACTGAAGTTCATCATTCGACCACCTTATAGATTATGATCAACCGATAAGATAAAATAACAACCATTGAATTTGAATTAATGATTGTGATAAAAATATATTTTTAAAATTTAATTAGTGATTTCTCTTTTCTCCTAAAAGCGTCCAATTTTTTTTTGATTTATGACACATGATTATATGAATATTACAGTTTAATCTGAATTTTACCTTTTAAATCTGATTGTCTTTATTCATTCTAGTATTTTCATATAACTTACTTATTTTCATTATATATACAACAATTCTAGGAAATAAGACGCATACATCTCTAATTTGGAGAAAAATATTTTAAAGATGACATAATAATTTTTTTTACAATCTCATATAGCCGCCAGTCAAAAAATTTGAGTAAGAGATGTTTTTTTTTTTGTCCAAGATATTACTATGTATACGATAAAATAAATAAAGATATTATTTGTCTTTTATTTTGCATTACAGTTTTTTCTCATTATGTCATTTTTGTGTTTCATTGCCTTTGAAATTCACTTTATTTTATTCTAAATTTTCATGAGATTTTTCAGTTTTTCCGACCTTAAATCGTGCAGACAATCAAAAATTGATTAGATCGTCGTCCGTAACTTACCTATTCTTTGGATCTAATGGCTAGTTACAAACACACCTATTCGGTATGATCAAATTTTGAAAGTTATCTATTTTTGCGTACCCGCATATCTAAAATCAAAAATAGGAACCAACGGTCATGTGTTAGGGGCATCATATAAACCCTTACACATGTGAGAGTTAAATATCAAATATTCACTATTCACCACTAATATCCTAATACTTTGTTTGTATCTCTTTGCTCTCACACTTATTTGATTGTCGGAATGTCTTGCAGGTATAACCTCTTTTTTCCCTCCTTGACATCACATCCTGACTGGAGTTCATCATTTGACCACCTTACAGGTTCTGATCAACCGGTAAGATAAAATAACAACCATTTAATTTGAATTAATGGTTGTGATAAAAATATATTTTTAAAATTTAATTAGTGATTTCTCTTTCTTTCTAAAAACATCTGATTTTTTAGATTTATGACAAATGATTATATGAATACTACGTTTAATCTAAATTTTACCTTTTAAATCTGACTGTCTTTATTTATTATAACATTTTCATATAACTTACTTATTATATATATATATATATATATATATATATATATATATATATATATATATATATATATATATATATATATATATATATATATATATATATATATATATATATATATATATATATATATATATATATATATATATATATATATATATATATATATATATATATATATATATATATATATATATATATATATATATATATATATATATATATATATATATATATATATATATATATATATATATATATATATATATATATATATATATATATATATATATATATATATATATATATATATATATATTATTGTAACAATGCTAGGAAATAAGTCACATACATTTCTAATTTGGAGAAAAATATTTTAAAGATGACAACAATTTTTTTTATAAATTCATATAGCCGCCAGTCAAAGATTTTGAGAAAGAGATGTTTTTTTATTTTGGTCCAAGATATTATTATGTACACGATAAAATAAATAAAGATATTATTTTTTTTTTTTGCACCACAATTTTTTCTCATGATGTCATTTTTGTGTTTCATTGCCTTTGAATCCATTTTATTTTATTCTAAATTTTGATGAGACTTTTCGGTCTTTCTGACCTTAAGTCCGGTAGATAATCAAGAATCGACTAGATTGTTGTTTGTAACTTACCTCCTCCTCGGATTTAACGGTTAGTTACTAACACATCTGTTCAGTATGATTAAGTCTTGACATTTATTTATTTTTGCGGATCCACATATCTAAGACCAAAATCAGGAACAAATGATCATGTGTTAGAGGCATTATATAAACCCTCACACACATGTGAGGGTCAGATATCGAATATTCACTATTCACCCTTAATACTTTAATATTTTGCTTGTATCTCTTTGCTCCCACACTTATTTGATTGCCGGAGTGCCTTGCAAGTACAACCTCTTTTTTCTCTCCTTGACATCACATCCTGACTGAAGTTCATCATTCAACTACCTTACAGATTATGATCAACCGGTAAGATAAAATAACAACCATTGAATTTGAATTAATGGTTGTGATAAAAATATATTTTTTAAAATTTGATTAGTGATTTCTCTTTTCTCCTAAATACGTCCGATTTTTTAGATTTATGACACATAATTATATGAATACAACTATTTAATCTGAATTTTACCTTTTAAATTTGATTGTCTTTATTCATTCTAGCATTTTCATATAACTTACTTTTATATATATATATATATATATATATATATATATATATATATATATATATATATATATATATATATATATATATATATATATATATATATATATATATATATATTTTGCAACAATTCTAAGAAATAAGACGCATACATTTCTAATTTGGAGAAAAATATTTTAAAGATGACATAACAATTTTTTTTTCAAACTCATATAGCCGCCAGTCAAAAAATTTGAATAAGATATTATTTGTCTTTTATTTTGCACCACAGTTTTTTCTCATGATGTCATTTTTGTGTTTCATTATTACCTTTGAAATTCACTTTATTTTATTCTAAACTTTCATGAGACTTTTCAGTTTTTTCGGCCTTAAGTTGTGCAGACAATCAAGAATTGATTAAATTATTGTCCGTAACATACCTCTTCTTTGAATCTAACGGCTAGTTACGAGTACAATTGTTCGGTATGATCAAATTCGGGTAGTTATTTATTTTTACGGATCCGCATATCTAGAACCAAAAACAGGAATCAATGGTCATGCGCTAGAGACATCATATAAACCCTTACACATGTGAGAGTCAAATATCGAATATTCACTATTCACCACTAATACCTTAGTACTTTGTTTGTATCTCTTTACTCCTACACTTATTTAATTGTCGGAGTGTCTTGCAGGTACAATCTCATTTTTCCCTCCTTGAGATCACATCCTGACTGAAGTTCATCATTTGACCACCTTGCAGTTTCTGATCAAGCGATAAGATAAAATAACAAGCATTGAATTTAAATTAATGGTTGTTATAAAAGTATATTTTTAAAATTTAATTAGTGATTTCCCTTTCCTCCTAAAAGCGATTGATTTTTTAGATTTATAACACATGATTACATGAATACTACGGTTTATAACACATGATTACATGATTATAAGTCACATACATTTCTAATTTGGAGAAAAATATTTTAAAGATGACAACGATTTTTTTTACAAACTCATATAGCCGCCAGTCAAAGATTTTGAGAAAGTGATGTTTTTTATTTTGGTCCAAGATATTATTATGTACACGATAAAATAAATAAAGATATTATTTCTTTCTTTTTTCATCACAGTTTTTTCTCATGATGTCATTTTTGTGTTTCATTTTCTTTGAAATCCACATTATTTTTTTCTAAACTTTGATGAGACTTTTCAAACTCGAGATAAAAATGCATAATAATTACTTTTAGAGTACAAAATGAGATCTTGAACATGCACAGATATTCAAACTACAAAAGAAAACTCATTCAAGAACATATAAATAAAAACATGATTCTTAAACCATAACACACATGAAGACACGGCCTATGCTTATTTCTTTGTGAGTCCTTAATTTTTTGGAGCTTTCATAGTTTTAGGAAGAAGCCCTTTTTCTCTGCATGTGTCAATAGCTTCGGTGTACATATCCTCCAAACTGTACTTAAACTCGAATCCTAAATCTTTGATCTTCTTTGAAGAAAATTTAATATGCTCCAATTCATCTGGAATATTTTCGAACCTAAAAATCCAAATTGAACAATTAGTTTAAGGTTTAGCGCCATTTGTTGTAGATCGTTTAATTTTTAAAAATATTTTTCTTGATGATTTTAGGAGTAACTAATTTTGGTTTAGCATGGAATACTTACTTTGTAGGGACATTGTACTCTGGAAATTTTGCATTAATTAATTTTGCAATGTCATGAATATTAGCTTCACATGCATTACATATGTACCTCCCTTCAACTTCCATATGCTCAAACAAGAATATGTGAGCTTCACAAAGATCATCCAAATGAACAAATTGACCTTGCTTTATAATTGAATAATGAGCCTCATTTCCTGCAAATTCATGTGCAGAAAATTAGGATATTTTCGATAATATCTGGATTCACACAGTAAAAATACCAAAATTTCATAAAATTTTCTGTTTATAAAATAATGTTTATATAGTGTAAAGTACTTGTAATAGGAGAAAGGGCAGTGGTTAAGCTAGGTGGCATAGATGGACTAAGAAAAGGACCAACAACGAGAGGTGGAATGATTGTGATGAAATCCATCTTGTTTTCTTTAGCAAATTTCCATGCTTCTTGTTCAGCAAGTGTCTTAGAAACAAAATACATCTAAACAAACAAAATAAAGAATCAAGATTAAACCATCCTTAATTGAAAGTGACTATGATGTAATCTAAAAAAAGTATAAAAAAAAATGCATTGATGAAAATAAATATCTAACCCATCCAGTCATTTTAACTCTCCGACAAAACTCAACGTCACTCCAGCAGCTCTCGTCGAACAAGAGTTTTTGATTTTCAATGACGTTGACGGATCCGGCCGATGATGTGAAAACCAATCTGCGAACAGTTTTCGCCTTGAGACATGATTTCATGATGTCTAGTAATCCATTTATGGCAGGTTTGATCACTTCATTCTGCAAATTCAAATCGAAGTTAAAACTATTTTGTATTTCAAGATTTTTTTTCCAACTAACTTTCATCAATTATATATACCTCAGGGTCGTTTGACTCAAAATCCATAGGTGTAGCCACATGAAAAACTCCTGTACAACCTTTAATCGCTTCATCAAAACTACCCTCTACAGCAAGATCAGCTTTCCAAAGTGTCAATTTGCTATTTGCACCCGGCAGTTCTAACAAATGCTTCACCTTCTTTATGTTATCTACATGTACAAAACCATAATCCTTAGCATAATTCTTTTTTGTTAGTGTAAACAATGTAACTTAATTTATTCAGGCATGGTATATAATATGATGCAACATAAAAACACGAACCTGGATCGCGTACCGTGGCTCGAACTGTATAACCGCGTTCGATGAGTCTCATGACGAGCCATGATCCGATGAAACCCGTGGCCCCGGTAACACAAACAGTTTCGGACACAGAACCCATGATTTTTCTTTTTCTCTGTTTTATTTTCTAGATATTTTTCCTCTTATGGTTTTGGTTGGATTGAAGGTTGAATTGGTGTATGCTCATTTTATAGGAAGGTTTGTTGCTACATTCCCTTAAGGATTAATAAGGAAAGGTGTGTACTACAAATTTACGAGAGAGGGTGACCTTCACCTACTAATCAACAAATTTTACATGAAGACAATTTAGATAAAAATATTGTTTTCCAATGTAAAACAACTGTGTTTTTTTCGGAATTTGAAGGGTAGAAATATTTACATGAATTTTTGTATTTGACATAATTATTTCAGATATTTTTTAAGTTATATTGTAAGTTGGTCTTTTAAATTTTTATAATAATTTGATCTTTAAATTTTTTTTGGTTGAATTATAATCTAACTTTATATTTTTTTAAAGGATTTTATGAGACAAATCTAAACGTAACGGGCATATGTCTCTTGCCACCCTACCTGAATGTCAACTTGATTCATGTTCATCCAAAAGCCACCACCATTTTCAAGCTATCAATTTCATTTGAAATTCTCCATTCACTTGTGCTGCTACTAAAATTGTGGAATAGTGTCAATAGGAAGTTTCCAAAGCTTGTACCACGTTTTTGATTTGTTTTTAGAAAATATTTGAATGCTTTTAATTAATCAAATATGAATTGACATAATTAATATCATAGTTAATTGTTGAATTATTTTATTGGAGGTTATATTTAAATGGATTTATTGAACAATTTAGTTAAATTTTATGAGAAATGTTAGTCATCAACTATTTAGATATTTAATTGTTGTTGTCCTATTAAATAATTAATATATTTTGCAAAACTAAAACGACATTATGGATAGTAAATCTCTTATATTTATTCATTCGATGACAATCTTTTGAGAATTTTTTTTTTTGAATAATCATGTATTAAATTTTTTTTCCGCAAATAATCACGTTTCGGAAAAAATTACGCAAATAACCATGTTTCAGATGACTCCTCAAAGGAGGAGCCATCTCACTTGATGCCTACACCCATTATTTAAGGGGAGGCGCCATCTCACTTGGCGCCTAGGTGCTTATGGCATGCCCTAAGCCAAGTGAGATGGCGCCTTAATGCATTTCTAGGGCAAATTTCGCGTTTTTTTTTTCAATCTGGTGCATTGCGTATTCGATACAGGATCAACAAAATTGACTTTTTATTAAAAAAATGATTACACCCATATGTATTACATTAAAAAATAGATAAATCAGTGGTCCCCCGGAACCCGGTAATGACCCCCGGTTCCGCATCCCCGTCCTCGCCTTTCTCGTGCTGGGTGTCGTCGCGTTTCCTACTGTGGCAGGATCGATGGCCCAGCGAAGTCAATGCGTTCCGGATCCATGAAATCAGTCAGATCTCCATATCTAGAAGATCCGCTTTGGTACAGTCGGTTACCCATACCCTCAAAGTTTGGTCGTGTTGGCGGTGGGTGGGGTTCCATAGTGGATCTGTAGCATTGATCGTCTGAGTACGGGGGGTAGAAAGGAAATGGATCTTGGGGTGTTTGGTATTGAGGATGTTGGGTGGTTTGGTGATACTGTGGTTGATGGTAAGTTGGGTCGGTTGGTTCGTAATCTTCTGACATTCCCAGATCAGGGCTAAGGCTGTATGTTGAGGGGCCCATATTGGGATATACAGAAGACTGAAATTGTGTGTGGGGTATGCGGGTGTGTTGGTATTGTGATTGGAATTGCGGTTGGGTGTGAGGCATATGGGGGTATTGGTACTGAGGTGGTGATTGTGGTTGGTTGTGGGGCATTTGGGTGTAATTGTGTCGTGGTGGGGACTGTGGTTGGGTGTTTGTGGTTCTGTTTCGTCTGGGGGTTGGTGGGAGGTTGATGTGTGTTGGGTTTGTTGTTGGGGAAACGAGGGTTGTGCCCATTATGTTCGTGGGTCAACCAAATACCTTGGATGAGACACGTGCATTTCAGGGTTCCTAACCGACCTGTACCAAGATAAATACTGATCCGTGTGTCGCATATTACCATGATTGAGGAAAACCGGGAATTGCAAGACATGTCGATGATGCCTCTGCCACATCTTACACCATTCTGGAGCAAAGTCTTTCCAGTTGGTAAGACCCCACTGTTTCCAGTGATTTCTGGTAAACAACCGCTAGTCTTCCAAACTATCGAATAAACTTACTGACTGTTATTCAATTTCTCTGGTAACTCACAGGATCGACTAGATTGATCCTAGGATTCCTTGGTCATTAGGGTAACTCTCATGATCGAACAGATATTCATGGTTAGTATTTGAGTGTTGTGTAGGTGTTTGACTTATTTCGATTTCTCCTTTACAGATCTAAAGATGTAATCAAAATGTATGTGCGCGAAACTAACTTGCATGAATAAATGTTAATTGTAAAGACATGTAAAATTGCATAAAAGGCAAGTAAATGGCTTCGAATTATAAAAACAGTTAATGTAAAAGATGCTCTGGAACGTAAAAGATTCGAAATATGAAGAAAGCGTTTAATGCAAGAAATCTGTAAATGACTTTAAGTAAAAATAGGCTTTCGAAAGACAAAACTTGAAGATAAAGGCATGAAAAGTATGACAGTTTTCTGAAATGTAAAGTGCTTAAAATGTAAAGAAAGCATTGAAATGTAAGGCTTTAATGAAGAGATTTCGAAATAAAAAGACTTTGAACGAGAAAACTTGTAAATGGTATTTGGCAGAAAGATAAAGGAAAGTGCTGGAAATGATAAAAGGTTTTCATTAAATCATAAACATGTGGTGCTATCATACGTACATTGCTCTTGCATTCGTTTCCCTTGCCATGTGGTAATTTGAATGTTACTGAGTATTTAGTACAATAGATATGACACACGAAATCCTAATACTAAGACTTCTATTTATACTAATTCGACCATAACGGTCTTGCTATAAGATTATGCCATGTTCAGAACATGCAGAACAATGCCTCTCTCTTGTTTCCACGTGTCTCCAAATGCTCCAGCACATAAATTTCAAACTTCGAATGTCCCGCTTTCATTTGAATTTCAAATGTTTTGGTACTTCTCCGTTTCGAATGCACTTCTCAGACACAGCCTTGTTGTCATTTCGAGACTTCTTTAGATATGTTCCCATAACTGTCACTCGAAGCTTCAAGCTTTGATATGCTTATTCGAAACACTGCTTCTGCTACTTCGAAACATGATGCTTTGTTTCATTTCGATCGAAACGTTCAACTTATTTGACTTCTAATAATATTATCAAAATCTTCAGCCAACAAAATGCCCCTTTAAAATATGTATTTCGATCTTTCTGAGAAATACTTATTTTAAACATCTACACAAGATTTTGAGGCGACCTTCGAATCATCGTAACATTTAATGCATTTGACTCCAGTCACGTCAATCATAGCACTTTTTGGATTCCTTAACCGCCTGGAGCCACTTCACAGTATGGTGCAGTTACAAACAATGATTATCTTTAAATCACGCCTATTACCCATGTTAACTTTACGCCACCTCTTCATCAAACCAACCCATGATTTCCATGTATCACCACCTTATTCAGTGGATGCTTAAACTTCCACATTATAAAACATCATCCACTTAGTCTTTTTCTTTTCTTTCTACATTCTGAATCCTTTATCCTTCTTCTCTCGTCAAAACCCTAAGCTTTCAACATCCTTCAAAAATGTCTTCTTCTACTTCATCCCAACTCAAAAAGGTTTTCAAGAAGAAAGGAAAAACTGCAGGAACTACCATGGAAAGTAAAGTTATCACTCACCAAGGTCAATCCGTTCTTGCTCCCCAGATGATCTCAAAGGAAAAAGAAATGTTGTATGCATCACAGGTACTCATTCCTACCACCGTTGCTGGTAAGAGGTTAGCTTTAATGGGCCCTCTTACGGTTTTTGAAATATTAAAAGATACCAGGACAATTTTCCCAGCTTGCTATAGTTTCAAACCCTTGTTTAACAAAATGGACGCCCCTAAGGCAATAGAATCTTCTGGCTCAAACACCATAGAAAATCCAATTGTTCCTCCTAAGGACCCTTTTGTATTAGATTATGTAAAAAGTAATTTTAAACCGTTTCGATCTTGCCCCACCTCTGATACTGCTTATCAAAACTGGTTCAAGAAGGTAGAAGCTAAGAAATCCCAGCAATGGGAAGAATTAGGTATCTACAACCTGATTAAGCTGTCGAAGCCTGGTTTCACTTACAGCCACCCTTTGTTATCCGCGTCCCTCTATTTCTGGGACAGTACTTATAATACTTTCCATCTCCCTGGTGGAATGATTACCCCTACCTTCTTTGACATAGAGGCCATTACTGGGCTATCACCAATAGGAGAAACATATCTACCTGACAACGAAGAACATTCAAGTATAATCGAATTCGAAGTCAAACTAGCAAGTTTTTCCAAGTTTATCAGTCACTACCATGCTGAGGGAGACAGTGTGTCTGATGTAGAACACATTGCTTTCCTCACCCTATGGCTGTCAAGATACGTCTTCTGCAGTAGATCCCTACAGGTAGCCAGTAGGTTTATTCCTCTATCTAGGGATTTGCATGAAAATCGAAGAGTGTGCTTAAGTGAACTGCTCTTAGTTGACCTTTATGAAAGCCTGAGGTCAGTTGTTTCGAGCCTCAAATCCCATACCTCCAAGAATATCCTGTTGGCTGGCCCTTTTTGGTTACTTCAGCTATGGCTAAATGCCATGTTCGAACCCTCCTTGTCAACTGCCAACACTGTTGATGAACAAGACCCTGAGATAACTGATAGAATAGTCGAAGGCACTAGGCTTCGAAGATTAACTCCAAATGACGACAAAGACGACTTCAAAGTCCTATTCTCGAAGTACATCATGATATTCTCCAAAAGGCATAAGTTCGAAGAGAGCATGGCGCCTTTTGCTTCGAGGGCTCATGGACCTTCCTGGTTCACCATGGCTCTCTCAGAAGCTGTCAAGAGCAAGGAGATTCAGGATGTATGGAGAGCTTTTTTGCT